TTTAGTATCTTATTGGCTATGGAAATGAGGAAAGAATATGTTCCAAACTATTTGTTTAATTTTCCTTTTGATTATTAATTTAGTACATTTACCATTTCCTGAGTCAGATAATTTTAAAAAAAGGAGGAGATACAGCTAGGGAGGAGGCAATATGGTGGAGAAGTAGGGAGCTCTTTACATTTCACTCGCCCCCATCTCTCAAACGGAGAAGGCCTGAAGCCATAGGAACCCTTTCAGAATCCAGGAGTTTGGGAGGAAAAGGGGACAGAGTCCACTGAGAAAATCTTATAGCGTGAGTGTGAACTGGGGAAGATAAAAACAGGCCGGGACCAGAGACAAGGAGGGAGGGGAGAGAGCCCTCTTTGCGGGGAGCCGCGGTGACTCCAAGGGAAAAGAAAGAGCGGCTGAAACGGCTCAAGGAACTGTCCCTGTCCCTGGAGAAGAGAAAACCTCGGCTTGGGACACAGAGGGATCCCGTTTCCAGCTGTGCAGCTGAGGTTGAGCGGAATGCACTGGTCCCAGGGAATGCCAGGAGAAATCGCTCCTCTGCTCACCAGCTTGACCGGGAGGGAAGCGGCTCGCCTGAAGCTGCTCCACCGCTCTTCTGGCTCCGCTCCAGCTTGAAACTGCTTGGAGGGACTCGCCTGCAGGTTTATATTTCCGGCGGTATCAATGGGGCTGCGGACTAAGATCTGGAAACCAGGCTTGGCTTGGGACATAGAGCACGGCCTACCTTGGCTATGCCCACGGCACGAAAGAGTGAGTTGCAACCCTTGGTTCGAGAGGAGACTGGAGCGCTGCCATTTTTCTCCCCACAACCACCAAGGTGGGATATCAGGGAGCGGCCTGCTGAATGCCTTGGAGGCCAAGACCCTCCTACACCAAACCACGCCCATCCCCCCTAGAGAGCTGCCTTTTTTTTTTTTTTTATCAGAGTCCAGGGCAAGACCAACATGGATGCACTACTGTGATTAATTCTAGATCAATTTTTCCATTCAGATATATTTTCCATTGTCTCATTCATATCCCTCCCCTGGGCTGGAAAGGGCACTCTGGTCACTGGTTTGCTTAAATAGTCACATTTAATCCATTCTCTAGATATATATTCTACATCTCTCTTTCTCTGGAGAAATCAGACTATATAGTTTCTTTAAGTAACATTATCTTCATTTCTTTCTCCTCGCCTCTTACCATATTCTCCACTTTATCTCTCTGAATTAAGCTTCTTAGTCTCTCTGTCTAGTCATTTCTCTTCCAATTTTGCTTTCTCTCTGCCCTGTCATTTCTCCCTTTGTATATATGCTCTTCCATCAGCACTGCATACACCGACTCTTTACTTGTAGATGGGAATTGTGGTTTTATGCTTTTAGACTGTCCTTAGACTTTTAGAATTTTTTCTTTTTTCTTTTCTTCTTGTTTTTTTTAAATTAATTAATTAATTTATTTATTAGTTTTATGCTTTTAGACTGCCCTTTCTCTTTTTTTTCCTTTTTTCTTTTCTTCTTTTTCTTTTTATTATTGGTTTTTCCTCCTTCCTCTTTTTCTCTTCTTTTTCCCCTACTTTACTTTTCCTTTTCTTTTTCCCTTTGGTTTGAGTGTTTGTTAGATTTGTCTGTGCATTTGTGTGCCTTTGTTCCCTGTGTGTCTGTCTGTTTTTTTTTATCCGGGACTACTTCAAGAAACAAGCCAAAGGACACATGGTGGAGACTCCAAACTACCACTATGAGTAGGGAAATAAAATAACCAAAGTCTCAACAAGAGAAACCAAGTGACACCATTCAAAGAACAGTTCCTGAACGGACAGGCCCTGGACAGTCACAGAGCCTTCTTTAATACAGCAGTAATCTCTAGCACAGAGTGCATAACAAGCTTTTAAAACTAACAAGAGAAAGAAAGCTAACCAAAATGACGAAACGGAAGAACTCTCCTCTAAAGAAATTCCAGGAAGAAGTGACAGCTAAAGATCTGCTCAAAAGAGATATAAGCAACATAACTGAACAAGAATATAGAACAGTAGTCATAAAATTAATTGCTGGGCTTGAAAAAAGCAGGGAAGACATCAGAGAAGCTTTTGCTACAAAGATAATGGAGCTTAAAATAGTTGTGATGAATTAAAAACTGCTATAAATGAGATGCATAATGAAATGGAGGCATCCAATGCACGGATTGAAGATACAGAGAGGAGAATAGGTGAATTAGAAGACAGAATTATAGAAAAAGAGGAAGCTGAGAAAAAAGAGAGAGAAACTGATCCAGGAACATGAAAGGAGAGTTCGAGGGCTGAGCAATACAATCAAACGGAACAATATCCGTATCATAGGAATTCCAGAAGGGGAAGAGAGAGGGAAAGGCACTGAAAGATAGGAAATCTGAACAGACCCATAACAAGTGAAGAAATTGAATCAGTTTTCAAAAATCTCCCAACAAATAAGAGCCCAGGGCCAGATGGCTCCCCTGGGGAATTTTACCAGACATTTAAAACAGAATTAATACCATTCTTCTCAAGCTATTCCATAATATAGAAATCAAAAGAAAACTTCTAGAGTCATTCTACGAAATCACCATCACTTTGATTTCCAAGCCAGACAGAGACCCAGTAAAAAAAAAAGGGAACTACAGGCCAATATCCTTGATGAATACAAATGCAAAAAACCTCAACAAGATACTTGCAAATCGATCCCAACAGCACTTAAAAAGAATTATCCACCAAGATCAAGTGGGATTCATTCCTGGGTTACAGGACTGGTTCAATACTCACAAACCAATCAATGTGATACATCACATTAACAAAAGAAAACATAAAAACCATATGATCCTGTCAATTGATGCAGAAAAGACATTTGTCAAAATATAGCATCCCTTCTGAATAAAGACTCTAGAGAAAGTCGGGATAGAAGGAGCCTACTTAAACATCATAAAAGCCATCTATGAGAAGCCTTCAGCTAACATCATTCTTAATGGGGAGAAACTGAGAGCTTTTCCCCTGAGATCAGGAACACGACAGGGATGTCCTCTCTCACCACTGTCGTTTAACATAGTGCGGGAAGTCCTAGCATCAGCTAGCAGACAACAAAAGGAAATAAAAGGGATCACAATTGGCAAGGAAGAAGTTAAATTTCACTTTTCGCGACGACATGATACTCTACATAGAAAACCCAACAGACTCCACCAGAAGCCTATTAGAACTGATCCATGAATTCAGCAAAGTCTCAGGGTACAAAATCAAAGTACAAAAATCAGTTGCATTTTTATACATCAATAATGAGCAACAGAAAGAGAAATCAAGAAACTGACCCCATTCACAATTGCACAAAAAACCATAAAATACCTAGGAATAAACCTCACTAAAGATATAAGAGATCTGTATGATGAAAACTATAGAAACCTTAAAAAGGAAATTGAAGAAGACCCAACGAAATGGAAAAACATTCCATGCTCATGAATCTGAAGAATAAATATTGTTAAAATATCATTACTACCCAAAGCAGTCTACACATTCAATGCAATCCCAATCAAAATGGCACTAGCATTCTTCTCAAAACTAGAACAAACTATCCTAAAATTTGTATGAAACCACAAAAGTCCCTGAATAGCCAAAGTAATATTGAAGAAGAAAACCAAAATGTGAGGTTTTGGCACAAAAACAGATGCATGGACCAATGGAAAAGAATAGAGAACTCAGAATTGGACCCACAAATGTATGGCCAACTAAGCTTTGACAAAGTGGGAAACTGTATCCAATGGAAAAAGACAGCCTCTTTAAAGGATGATGCTGGGAGAACTGGACAGCAACATGCAGAAGAATGAAACTAGACCACTTTCTCACACCATACACAAAAATAAACTCAAAATGGATAAAGGACCTTAATGTAAGACAGGAAACCATCAAAACGCTAGAGGAGAAATCAGGAAACCACCTCCTTGACCTGCACCGCAGCAATTTCTTATGTGACACATTCCGAAAGCAAGGGAATCAAGAGCAAAAATGACCTATTGAGACCAAATCAAGATAAAAAGTTTCTGCTCGGCAAAGGAAACAACAAAACGAATAGGAAAGCGACGGAATGGGAAAAAGATAGTTGCAAATGACATATCAGATAAAGGACTAGTCTCCAAACTCTATAAGGAACTCACCAAACTCCACACCCAAAAGACAAATAATCCAGTGGATAAATGGGCAGAAGACACGAACAGACACTTCTCCCTAGAGGACATTGAGACGTCCAAAAACGATGCTCAGCATCCCTCATCCTCAGTGGAATACAAATCAAAACCGCATGAGATACCACCTCATGCTGGTCAGAGTGGCTGAAATTAACAAATCAGAAGACTCTAGATGCTGGCGAGGATGTGGAGAAATAGGCACCCTCCTACACTGTTGGTGGGAATGTAAACTGGTGCAGCCCCTCTGGAAAACAGTGTGGAGATTCCTCAAAACATCAACAATAGAAGTCCCCTATTACCCAGCAATAGCACTGCTAGGAATTTACCCAAAGGATACAAGAGTGCTGATGCAGAGGGGCACATGTTCCCAATGTTCATAGCAGCACTCTCAACAATAGCCAAAAGATGGAAAGAGCCTAAGTGTCCATCAAGGGACGAATGGATCAAGATGTGGTTCATCTATACAATGAAATACTACATGGCAATGAGAAAGAATGAAATCTTGCCATGTGTAGCAATGTGAATGGAACTTGAGGGTGTTATTTTGAGCGAAATATGTCAGGCAGAAAAGGACAGATACCACATGTTTGAACATATAGGAGGATTAGGAGGAACTTAACAGAGGACCATGGGGGAGAAGAAGGGGAAAAATAGTGAGGGAGAGGGAGGGAGGCAAACCATGAGAGACTCTTGAATCCTGAGAACAAACTGAGGGCTGATGCGGGTGGGGGGGGAGGGGAAGGGGGATGATGGGCATGGAGGAGGGCACTTTTGGGGATGAACACTGGGTATTATATGGAAACCAACTTGACAATAAACTATTTAAAAAAACCAAGATGGACATAAAACTAAAAAATCCTGAATTCTATTACAGTATCCATGGCCAGTTCCCAGGGCTGTTGGACTGGGACATGGCAAATGAGCTCTTCTTGCCCTGCACCACAGACCAATGCCCCTTAGCTGAGCAGAAATACAGATTTCAAGTAATGGAGCCCCCAAAGGTGCCTCAAGAGAGGAGACCCGATCCAGACGAAGATGGTCCTGACTCTGAACCTAACTGTTGGATGTGGGTAAATCCCAACACCTTGTGCCCCCTTGGCAACCAGGAGGCCCTAAAGCCCAATAAGGTAAAGGATATGACCAGCATGCTGCCTTGCCCTCAGCAACTCCCAAAGGTTGAAAAGTCTAACTGCTCAAGGGCCACAGTGATGGAATTCTTTCCAACTTCCTCCAGCAATCAATCTCCCCCAAGCGGTTCACCTAGTTTCACAGCAACTGGGAGTTCTCAGAAGAATAAAGTGACAACTGCTCTGTGTCCCTCCAATCCCCTAACAAAGGGGAGTGCTTCCAGAACCAAAAGCTATGGCAAGGCAATAGCCAGGAGAGGAGGTCCTGGGCCTGGCCTCCCCGTAATTACAGTCACCCAGTTGCCCTGGCATTAAGAAACACCCGACCTGGGGCACCTGGGTGGCTCAGTCGGTTAAGCGTCCGACTTCAGCTCAGGTCATGATCTCACGGTTCATGGGTTCGAGCCCCGTGTTGGGCTCTGTGCTGACAGCTAGCTCAGAGCCTGCTTCAGATTCTATCTCTCTCTCTCTCTCTCTCTGACCCTCCCCTGCTCACGCTGTGGCTCTCTCTCTCAGAAATAAATAATTAAAAAAAAAAGAAAAGAAACACCCCACCTTGTGGCCTCAATGTGCAAGAAATCTACAATTTCACCTGAGAGCATTTTCCTTTTTGGGGGGACAGCTCCAAATTGCTGGAAAAACACCATCTGCCACAATCTCTGCTTCCTGAGCAGCTTTGAGAAGGTACCAGTCAACCTTCAGGATGGAGCCAGTGTAAAACCACCGTCTGACCTCTGGAGGCTTACTGAGGAGGGACACCGCCACTTTCAGGAGGAGACATGTGCTTGAGCCTCTGTTCGGTGGGAGAGCGTCCAGCAGCACATGAGCCAGCCAGATGTGATGAACTCTCTCTTTGACCTTTGAACTACCACTTCTCCCTTTTTAGAACACTGCCCTCCTTACTGGGCCCACCATTGCCCTAATTGGTCTTCATTGATTCCTTCGCCTTCCCTGTCTGGTAGGTGACAAGACTGTGTTTAACTATATCTACAAGAATAGTATTAAGTAAATTGAGAGGTGAGTACAGAGGAAGCAGAGCTTAAATCCAGACAGACATGGACAATCATGGAAAGTTGCACAGAACAGTGGCAGTTCTGCATTTTAAGCAGAATCAGGAAATCCTGGGAATAGTAGCATGGAAGTTAAGGAGAAAAGGCCATATTTTATAAGAAAAGGAATTCTGTTTACTGGAGTGTATACTCACATATGAAAGCAAATGATGACTGCAAAGCATAAACATGCAAGATTGAATCAGGCCTTGGAGAGCCTCAAATGCCATGTGAAGGTGCCTAAAGAGAACTGGGTATGATGTTTGAAGCCTAGAGTTTCAAGTATCTCCCTTCCCCCACTCATCAGATGTATCTCTCTTTTAAATGACCTATTTTACCCTTCAAGGCTTCACTTTTCTCTTTATGATCTAGACATTCTAAGCCTTGTTCAGTTTCCAACCAACTCCAGTGCTGACAAATAATTCCTAACAGTTACTTTTAGTTTGTATATTGAAAGCCCTTAAATTGAGCTTGTATCAACCTCAGCCTTTTTGAAAACAAAGCTTTGCTTTCTGATAACAAAGCTTTGCTTTCCATTCTTTCATTCATCAAAACTTTATTGAGAAATTGCCAAAGTGTCAAGGTCCATCTTAGGTGCTGATGATAAAAAGTTGTTAGGTTAGTTGGAGACAGACATATAACTGGATATTTGTAATACAAATGTACTGAAACTGATGTTCAGAGTTGGCATGGAAAAGGGGAGACATTTTTATTCTGGGAAAGACCATGAAAGGAAACAACTTTTGAGTTAGTTTTGAAGAATAAATAGGGATTTTCTGGGCATATAAACTGAAGAAAAGAGAAGATAAAGGAAACTGTACAAATAAAGTAAATGCAATATTTGGCGGAATGATAGGAAGTTCAGTGAAATTCCGCTATATTAGGTCCAAGAGTGGTGAGAAATGTAGGCAAAGGCTTTTCTGGTACTACTTGGGTGTTTGGACTTTATCCTGTGGGCTATTATGAACCAAGAGATATCAGTGGTGTTTTACTAAAAAATAAAAATAGCAAACTTTTAAGCATTTGGTTTTCTAATTTCAAAATTCCCTTTAACACTTTTCTATACAAATAAACTTTCTTTATCAGAGTAAAGCATACTTTTATGCCTTTTATGTTAGTATATTATTAAAGATATATCCAGGATAAAATGTATTCCATTTTTAAGGATATATTTATTTTGAAACCTTCAATAACGGGGGTACAAAAATACCTTGTAAAATGCAAAATCAATTAATTCAATATAATTGTAAATCAATTGAAAAGTTTACTTATTTTGCTAATTTTATATTGTATCACATGAAAAAAATCTGTATATTTAGGTTGAATTGCAAAAGCAACATTTAGAAAGTATTCTTTGAAAAAAGAATTGTGTGTAGTATTTCTGTATCGTAAGGCAAACAAAGCTGACAACGTACATCGGAATAAATAAAATATTCCAGTACTCAGCATTCAGTTTTCATATTTTTCACAAGTAACACTTGTAAGTAAAAGGGACTGTTGTGAAATTCACAAGACTTTTTATCACAAACTACATTTCTGATATATATGATGTATCAATTCTGAAAATTTTCAGGTTCAGACCTGAAAAGTTCAGACCTATTTTTTTTTTTAATTCTAGTTAGTTAATATGCAGTGTCATATTAGTTTTAGGTGCACAATATACTGATTCAACACTTCCATACATCAACCGCTGATCATACAAATTGCACCACATTAATTCTCATCACCTGTTTAACCCATCTCCCCATTCCCCTCCCCGCAGGTAATCATCAGTTCTGTATTGTTAAGAGTATGTTTCTTGCTTTCACTTTTTCTCTCTCTCTTTTTTTGCCCTCTGCTCATTTGTTTTGTTTCTAAAATTCCACATATGAGTGAAATCATATGATATATGACTTTCTCTAACTGACATATTGCGATTATCAAATATTCGCTAGCTCCATTCATGTCCTGGCAAATGGCAAGATTTCATTCTTTGATATTTCTGAGTAATATTCCAATGTGTGTGTGTGTGTGTGTGTGTGTGTGTGTGTGTGTGTGTACACCACCTCTTCTTCATCCATTCAGCAGTTAGTAGACACTTGGGTTGCTTCCATAATTTAGCTATGGTATATAAGGCTGCTATAAACATCAGAATTGAATTAGTACTTTTGTATCCTTTGGGTAGATACCTAGTAATACAATTACCAGATACTAGGGTAATTCTATTTTTAACTTTTTGAGGAAACTCCATACTGTTTTCCATGGTGGTTGCACCAGTCTGCGTTCCCAAAAAAAGTGCAAAAGAATTCCCCTTTCTCCACATACTCGTCAACACCTGTTGTTTCTTCTGTTGTTGAATTTAACCTTTCCGACAGGTGTAAGATGATATCTCATTGTAGTTTTGATATGTATTTCCCTGACGATCAGTGATGTTGAGCCTCTTTTCATACATCTGTTGGACATTTGTATGTCTTCTTTGGAAAAACGTCTATTACCATTTTTATTTGAATTTTTCATTTTTTCAGTGTTGCATTGTATAAGTTTTTTATACATTTTGAATACTCTTTATCAGATATGTCAGTTGCAAATATGAATATCTTCTCCCATTCTGTAGGTTGCCTTTTAGTTTTCTTGATTGTTTCCTTCACTGTGCAGGAGCTTTTTGTTTTGATGAAGTTCCAATACTTTATTTTTGCTTTTTGTTTCCATTACCTGTCCCTGGACTTTCCTTTGTTAGGATTTTCTTTATTATAATTCAATATCCTGACTAGTTATCAACCTGGTCAAGTTTTCTATTTCCTCTTCTTTCAGTTTTAGTGGCTTATGTGATTCTATGAATTTATCAATTTCTTCACGGTTGTCCAATTTGTTGGCTGACTTTTTCATAATATTCTCTTACAGTTGTTTGCATTTTTGTGGTGTTGGTTGTTATTTCTCTTCTCTCATTTCTGATTTTATTTAGTTGGGTCCTTTCTCTTTTCTTTTTGGTAAATCCAGCTAGAGGTTTACCAATTTTATTTTATTATTTTCAGAGAACCAGCTCCTGGTTTTATTGATATGCTTAATTGTTTTTTATGCTTTTTGTCTTTTTTAGATTAAAATTTTATTTATTTAAATTCCAGTTAGTTAACATACAGTGTGGTCTTGGTTTCAAGACTAGAATCCTGTGATAAATCACCTACATAAAACACCCAGTGCTCATCCCAAAAAGTGGCCCCCTTAAGTGCTCATCATCCATTTAGCCCAACTTTTCACCCACCTCCCCTCCAGCAACCCTCAGTTTGTTCTCTGTATTTAAGGGTCTCTTATGGTTTGCCTCCCTCTCTGTTTTAAACTTATTTTTCCTTCACGTCTCCTGTGTTCATCTGTCTTGTTTCTTAAATTCCACATAGAAGTGAAATCATATGATATTTGACTGAATGACTTATTTCACTTACTCTCTAGTTCCATCCATGTGGTTGCAAATGAATGGTTTCATTATTTTTGATCGCCAAGTAATATTTCTTTGTATATATACATACCACTTATTCTATACATTTATTAGTCGATGGACATTTGGGCTCTTTCCATAATTTGGCTGTCATTACCACACTATAAACATTGAGAAGCATGTGCCCTTTCGAATCACCATTTTTTAATCCTTTGGATAAATACCTAGTAGTACAATTGCTGGATCATAGGGTAGTTCTATTTTTAAGTTTTGGAGGAAACTCCGCACTGTTCTGCACCAGTTTGCATTTCCACCAACAGTGCAAAAGTGTTCTCCTTTCTCTGCATCCTTGCCAACATCTCTTATTTCCTGAGTTGTTAATTTTAGCCATCCTGACAGGTATGAGGTGGTATCTCATTGTGGTTTTGATTTTTATTTCCCTGATGGTGAGTGAATTTTAACATCTTTTCAAGTGTGTGTTAGCCATCTGGACGTCTTCTTTGAAAAGTGTCTATTCATGTTTTCTGCCCATTTTTTCACTCAATTATTTGTGTTTTGGATGTGGATTTTGATAAGTTCTTTATAGATTTTTGAGAGGGGAGGCAAGATGGCGGAAAAGTAGGGAGCTCCGTACTTGCACTCGTGCCCATGCATCACACGGAAAAGATCTGAAGCCATAGGAAACCATACAAAACCCAGTAGATTGGGAGAAAAAGGATGCAGAATCCACTGAGAAAGCCTTCTAACGTGAGTGTGAACTGGGGAAGATAAAATCGGGCCTGGATCGGAGACTGGAGGGACAGGGCGATCCCCCTCTGCAAGGAGTGAGAGGCGAAAAAGAGAGAGTCCAAAACAGAAAAACCTCCGCTCGGGGGAAAAAACCTCCGCTCCGGGCGTAGAAAGACCTTGCGCACAAAATACGTGCGCACCAGGACCCCCACGCTCCAACACGCCCCGGAGGGGCTACGCTCCAGGACTGCTGCTTTGTGCAGTCTCCTGGCTGTCTGGGAGAAGCTGCTAGCCTGCCGCTATTGCCCTTCTGGTGGGCTTGGACCCCTGGAGGAGCTGCGCGCAGGCACCGGGCATCCGCGCTCCTAGCTAGCTGGAACTCTAGAGGGAAGGCAAAGAGCTAAAAACTGGGAGATTTGCCCGCGAATTCGTGTTTTGAGTGAAGAGATACAGAGGGACCTCGATTCCCTCACTCCAGGGGGCTCAGAGCAATCGGCAGACAAGGCCCCCCGCCCCGCCCAGGCTCCCCAATCCGACCCTGAGGAGAAGAGAGCAGTGGCTTCTGGCTCCTCCCCCAGAGCCAGGCAGGAGGCTTGGAATTGCCCTGACGGGGTTGCCAGGGGATCGCCTGAGGCAATTTCAGTGGGGCGCTTGGACTGCAATTTGGAGGCTGGGAC